TATATCCAAATATTTCTGGTTGGTATTACATACCACTCTACTTCTCTGTTTTGTTTTACCAGTAAAAAAAGCACCATGAACATTATTTTGCTTGTGCTGTCAGAACAGGCAATCCTCACAGTATACTACAATTGATTTTTGAAAAACCCATTCGTTGAAAAAAAAGCAATTCATAGAGATTGATAACATGAACCGAAAGCCACCAATTATACATGGAAATGGTTGCATAAGATTTCTAGTATAGATGATAAAAGGAAGATAAAAAGTAATAATTCACTGCATGAGTGACTGATATGTTAAAAAATAATTTAATATGTAGTAGCATATTTACTGAGAAGTATATTTTAGACAGAAATATAAACATTCTTGTGGAACAAAATCTTATTAATTGTTTGGTTAGGATATGTAGACCACGTCATGGTGAAACAAAGCAGAAAGAAATTGACTAGGGGAAACAGTGTGTGGATAAGTTTGATATCATTGGCATTATTGGAGAAGGCACATATGGGCAAGTTTACAAAGCAAGAGATAAAGATACAGGTAAGTTTAGAATTATGATTCACAACAAAAATGCTGATGCTGCAGTTTCTGCTAGTACCTTTGTCAGAACACATACCTATTATTGCTGAGCTATTTATTGCCATAGAACATCTATAAATATTTTTTGGGAAAACTAGTAATAGTGATCTTACAGTTTCTTCATGTGTTCCATTTTCTGTCAGGAAGAGAAATCCATCTGTATAGTAGGAGGTATTAAGCTGAACTTCTGTGCTATCAAAAAGCTGAGACAATTGGTTTGACTGCATATACCCCATAAAAATGAATATATTCTGGAATTATGGTTCTAGGTATACAGGGAGGCATGAAAGAGGATTTGAAGGCTGGCTTAAGATGCCTTCAAGTAAGTTCTTAACTCCTGGCATCTGTCCTTGACTTATGACAACAAATGGGACCACAGTTTGTGTCATATGTTGGTGCAGTCATAAAGCATACTATGGTCTCTTCACAAACTTTTCATTTACCATGTCCAAAGTAGCTAAAGCTACACTGTCTTTGCAAACTTTTCCTTCCTCATTTCCAAATTGACTAAAGCTGTGCTCTCTTCACAAACCTTCCTGAGGACAATGCAGCTTTAGCCAAATGTAGGAAATGTTTGCCAGAGAATCTGGGTCTGAAAAGGAGAGAATAAAGTCAGTGAGGCACTGGGTGCGAAAGGTGAAAAGTTGGTGCAGGAAACTGGGAGAGAAGGTAGCTGGGCTAATGAATGCTTGTTGGTGTGGGCTGGGAAGGCATGTGGGGCTGGAGAGAGAAGGCAGCTTGGGGAATAAATGCTTGCTGTGGATTCCCAGGTGTAGCAAGCAACTGCAGAGGCACATGGTTTTGGAACTGTTTGCTGCCCAACAAGGCAGGGTGCAGGACAGCCAAAAGGGTGGGGGGGGGTGGATAGGCAAGTGGGGAGAGTTGAAGCGCCCCTCTGGTCATAAGTGCAGGTGGGCTTCCTAGTGCCTGTGACTGGGGGCACTGCAACAGCTGCAATGTCAGGCACAGGTCATAAGTCCATTTTTAGCCCTGTGGTAATTTTGAACAGTTGCTGAACAAATGGTCATAAGTCAAGTACTATGAGTAGTCCCTGCAGCTTTCTTGGCAAGATTTTGGTAGTGGTTTGCCATTGCCTCCTTCCTAGGGCTGAGAGAGAGTGACTGGCCCAAGGTCACCCAGCTGGCTTTATGTCTAAGGTGGGACTAGAACTCACAGTCTCCTGGTTCCTGGCCTGTTGCCTTGACTTACACCAAGCTGGCTCTCCCATCTTTAAAGCAGGGGTGAGGAACTATGACCCTTTTGACCTATGGACTTCAACTCCGAGAATTCCTGAGCCAGCATGGCTGGCTCAGGAATTCTCGGAGTTGAAGTCCACAAGTCATAAAGGGGACATAGTTCCCCACCTCTGCTTTAAAGTTAAGTCCATCCTGATTGAGGTCATTGACAAAATACTTGATTTCCTGGATCAAATGAAAGCCCATGGTGAACTTCACAGTTTGAATATACAAATATAAAGGTTGAGATGTATAGTTCAAAGTAATCTATTACATAACCACAAAGCAGGGGTTTTTTCTATTTGCTAGGCAAAAGCCTGAACACTGAGAGTTTAAGGATTCTATTTATGTAGTAAGTTGTCTATGGATTTTTTCTGTTTTACACTCTGGACAGTCATGTGAAAAAGAAAGTACACCCTCTTTGAGTTCTATGGTTTTACATATCAGGACATAGTAAAAATCTTCTGGTCCTCATCAGTTCTTAAAAGTAGGTAAATGGAACCTCAGATGAACCACACATGACATATTACACCATATCATCGTTTATTTTACAAAATGGAGAGGCCATGTGTGAAAAACTAAGTACACCTTATCATTCAATAGCTTGTAGAACCACCTTCTACAAGCTAATCAAATGCCCTTGATCAATTGATCATCAGCAAGTGTGACTACCTCTATAAAAGCTAAAGTTTTAGGAGTTCTGGTGTCCCGCATTGAGGTGTGTGTTAACACAATGCCAAAGAGGAAAGACATCAGCAATGATCTTAGAGAAACAATTGTTGCTGCCCATCAATCTGGGAAGGCTTATAAGGCCATTTTCAAACAATTTAAAGTCCATCATTCTATAGTGATGAAGATTGTTCACAAGTGGAAAACATTCAAGATGTTTTCTACCCTCAGCTCACAAGCTGGCCAAACTGTCCCTGAAGCACATCTACCGCCTGCATGGAGTACCTCAAAGAATTATCTCAGACAGAGGGGTCCAGTTTACGGCTAACTTCTGGAGGGAGTTCCTGTGGTCCATTGGGTCATCCCAGGGCCTTAGCTCAGCTTTTCACCCAAGCACCAATGGGGGGGCGGGGGGGGGCGGAGAGACTGAACGCCATGGTAGAGCAGTACCTGAGGTGTTACGTACGTGAACTATCAGCAGTCCACTTGGGCAGAACTTTTGTCTTTTGCTGTGGTCACGTACAATTCAGAGTAGCAGGGGACTAACACCATTCAACTTAGTGAGCAGCATGGACTTCATCCCAATGCCTGAGTAGCCAAGGGATCCCCCTTCCTCAGTCACCTTGACTGACTGGATGTCAATGCTAAAAGCAACCTGGGAGGATGTCAAAAAAGCCCTGGCTAAAGCGGCACTCATGAATCAATTAGGGCATTTTTTGGAAACCTGGCACCAAGCACACCATCAAATCTATAACAGAATGGCTGAAATAGTAAAGAATCAATGTATTACAATGGCCCAGTTGTAGAGACCTCAATCCGATTGAAATGCTGTGGCAGGACCTCAAGAGAGCTGTGCATAAACAAATGTCCACAAAACTCAATGAACTGAAGCAATGTTGTAAAGAAGAATGGGCCAAAATTCCTCCACAACGATGTGAGAGACTGAGCAAGTCATACAGAAGAAGTTTACTTCAAGTTATTGTTGTAAAGGTGGTTCTACAAGCTTTTGAATGATAAGGTGTACTTAGCTTTTCACACATAGCTTCTCCATTTTGTAAAATAAACAATGGTATGGTGTAATATGTCATGTGTTGTTGTTTGTCTGAGGTTGTATTTACTTACTTTTAAGAACTGCTGAGGACCAGATGATTTTTACTGTATCCTGATACGTAAAACCATACAACTCAAAGAGGGTGTACTTTTTTTCCCACATGACTGTAGTTATAATACTGAAATAGTTTTCTGGATGTGCTAATAGGTTGCATCTTTTCAGTTTTTAAAAATTATGTGCTAACTTAACATTGACGCTAATAACAGCTTGACTTCTTTTTCCGTAGGGGAAATGGTGGCATTAAAGAAAGTACAGTTGGATAATGAGAAAGAAGGTTTTCCTATTACAGCTATTAGGGAAATAAAGATTCTTCGACAACTAAATCATCAAAGTATAATCAACATGAAAGAAATAGTGACAGATAAGGTAGATGCTTGGGATTTCAAGAAAGATAAAGGTATGTTTGTAAGCATTGTTTCGTCAGTTAATAATTTTAAAGTAATTTATTTTTTTCCAGGAAAAGTTAGCTCATTTTAAAACATGCATGTATTGAATGGTAAAGTTTCCACTCCTTGTACATAAAAGTATTTATTTATTTATTTATTTATTTATTTATTTATTTATTTATTTATTTATTTATTTATTTATTTAAAGCTTTTATATGCCGCCCAATCCCAAAGNAGGCTTGTGTTTCCTCAAAATTCCAATTTATTAGAGATGTCATGTTGGCACATCTGGGAAAACCCGAATCTGAAAGTTTCCAAGTTTTCCCAAAAGTCCAAAAGAAAAGATGGCTTGCAGGCAAGACAGACAGCCTCCCCACAGAAGAAAAGCATGTCCTGTAAAAAGAATAATGCAGTGGGTTAACATTTACTAAAATGCCCTGACAGACATTTTCATGGCTTGGCAAATCTCTTTGTGGCTTTTGCATTACACATTGGGCCTAATTCAGTCTGCAAAACAATGAATCTAGATGAAGACAATAGTGTAGGGCAGTGATGGCAAACCTTTTTTGCCTCGGGTGCCAAAAGTACAAACACACGTGCTATCATGGGCATGTGCATGCCCACCCCCATAATTTAATGCCCCCCCATGCCCCCCCGCTGTCCCACACATGCGTGCACGGCTTTCTTGGAAACTAGGGAGGGCAAAAACAGCCTCCCACAAAGAGGTGGGTTCCTACTGGTTCGCACTGGTTCGGTAGAACCGGTTCGTCAAATCTACCGAACCAGTTAGAAGAGGTTCCACTGGTGGACCTGGAAGTAAGTTCCAGAACGCCTGCCCCGGCCCTGTCGCTTGCTCGCTCCCCCCCGCCTGTCCGCACTATCCTAGCCCCACTCACCGCTCAATGACTGGCTGGCTCACCAATCGCCCCGCCTGCCTCTAAGAACCTTATCTAAACCCACTTACCTTTTTTCCTGCTTGGCTCTCTATTGCTGCCTGGCAACTCCAAGGAGGTAAGTGAGCTGCAACTAAGCGCGGGGAAGGGGGGGACAGCGGCAGGCCATGTGGAGTGGCCTGCCGTGGCCCTGAACTATAAGTGAGTCCAGTGACCTTTTGTGGCCTTGCAAGGATCCCGGTGTCGCTTATAGCGCAGGCCTGCATGGCCGCGTGGCCACCAGAAAGCACGGGTGTGGGGGTGGGGATGGCGGCGGGAGCTTACGTGGTACGGTTGGTCTCCTAGGACCTCCTAGGTACCGGCCACAATGCACAAACTACCGTCCATCTCCCCGTGCTCAGAAAAGCAACCCTGGGAATATCCTTTGGTGGTGGCAGGCATCCTAGAACCTGCCTGCTAGCAAAGGACTTAGCCGGGCTTCCTTTTCTGAGCACAGGGAGACGGATGGTATTTTGTGCCATCTGTCTCCCTGTGCTCAGAAAAGCAACTCCAGGAAGGTGCTTTGGTGGCGGCAGGCATCCTAGAACCTGCCTGCTAGCAAAGGACTTACCCGGGCTTCCTTTTCTGAGCACGGGGAGATGGATGGTAGTTTGCACTGGCCGCGCCACGCAAACTACTGCCCATCACCCCATGCTCAGAAAGCAAGTCTGGGCCCAACCTCATAAAGTGGGGAGAAAAGATCCGCATTGAAAGATAGGAGCCTTAACCGCCACCGAGGCCTGCCGCTCAAAGAAGCGGGTGAAGGAAGCAATCGCTCCTTGTTCCAGGTTGGTTTGGCTGCAGTGCTTACACCATTTCCCGCCCATTAGGCTTTCACCAGGCTCCTTTTTCGTGATAAATCCGCCCCCCCCCCCTTTCTCTTTTCGAGGCTGTGTAGTTGACTGCTTTCCACGTGGCTCTTGGGGCTAACGCGGAGGGGGAAGCGGCTTGGGAGGATTTTCCCCACAGGGTTTGGCGGAAAATGTCACGGAATGGGGGTTTTGCAAAATGGGGAGTTTCCCCTTAAGGCTCCACCATGTTCCCACGTTCTATATCTGGATGGGTTCGCCGGTTCGCTCCTTGCCTTGATCGGGGCCTGTAGTGTACACTCAGTGGGCGAAAGGAGTGAGGGGGGGAGGGATACTGGACAGGGAAGTCCATTGGAGTTGGCCGGCTAATAAATTCAAATAGGTAAATGTTCTGTCCCCCCTTCTCCGCTCGTTAAACAGACGGCAGGCAGACAAACTTAAAAGGAACTCTCTTTATCAGTTCTCGGCTCAAACTGGCTCCGAGCCCAAAAATAACATCCATCCTGGAACGTGTCCATTCTGGTTCATTCCACATGGAATCCTGGCTACGTAGCCTGAATTCAGTCACATAGTCCTGCAATGAACCAGTCCCCTGCTGCAGTGACTTTAGACTTCTAGCAGATGTTTCCCCCTTGATTGGATCTTCAAACATTCGTTTGAAGTACTGGCAAAAGCCCTGAAAGTCATCCAACAAAGGGCTCTGCTGAACTAACAAGGGGGTAGC